CAACCTAGATGCTCCTCAACTGAAGAGTAGATGTCGAAAATGTGGTACATTTATACAATGAAGTACTACTCATGGGGTGGGGGGAGACAATGGAAACTTGAAATTTGGAAGCAAATGGATGGAACTAGAAGACACCATCCTGAGTGAGGTAACACAGTCACAAAAAGACAAACATGATATGTACTCACTCATATGTGGATTTTAGACCTAGAGTAAAGAAGTAGCAGTCTACAATCCAACCACCAGAGAAGCTAGGAAACAAGGAGGACCCTAAGAGAGACATACATTGTCCCCTGGAGAAGGGGAATGGGACAAGACCTCCTGAGCTAATTGGAAGCATGTGGGGAGGGGAGAGAGAATTAGGAGAAAGTGAAGGAAAGAAGAGTAGGGGAGAGGAAGACATGAGAGAGCAGGAAGATTGAATCAGGGAAAGAATAGAGGAGAGCAATTCATGGTATTCCATAATAGAGGGAGAGAAATCTGGTAATAGGGAAATGTCCAGAGATCTACAAGGTTGACCCCAGCTAACAATCTCAACAGTAGTTGAGAAGCTATCTTAAATGCCCTTCTCTGATAATGAGATTGATGACTACCTTATATGCCATCCTGGAGCCTCCATCAAGTAGCTGATGGGAGCAGAAGCAGACACCCACAGCTAAACACTGAGCTGAACTCTGGAATCCAGTTGCAGAGAGGAAGGAGTGATGAGCAAAGGGGTCAAGACCAGGCTGGAGAAACCCACAGAAACAGCTGACCTGAACAAGGGGGAGCTCATGGACCCCAACTTGATTATGGGAATCCAGCATAGGTTCAACCCAGACCCTCTGAACAAGGATGTCAGTTTAGTGGTCTGGTTATTCTGTTGTAATGATAATTCTTTCCACCGAAGCCCCCTGAGCCCTGCCACCCATGGGTGCTTTCTGCCAGGCCACCCGAGTTCTGTCTGCCACCACATTAGGGTCCCAAGTAACACAGAGAGACTTATATTAGATACAAATGCTGTTTGGCCAATGAGTAGGATTTCTCATCTGCTAGCTCAATTTTAATTATCAAGCATAATCATAAGACTTATGGAGGACGCAGGTAGAATGTGTCCTGTCTTCCTGGCAGTCCATGGTGACTGCAGAGCATAGAGCAGGAGGAAGAGGAAGAGCAAGAGGATGATTTCCTTCTTGTCCTTGCTTATTATGAGTCTGCCTGCTGTGTCACTTCCTGCCTGTATCACAAGACTTCTTTTTAGTACATTTCCCAGAATCCTCCTCGACTCCTAGTCTTGTCTAAGTTGCTGCCTCATTGGCCAAATAGTACTTTATTCAACAATCAACAAGATAAAAATACACAGATGGACATTCCCCAACATTCTGTGGGGCCTCTGGTAGTAGATCAGTATTTATCCCTAGTACACGAATGGCCTTTGGGAGCCTACTCCACATAGAGGTTGCTCTCTCAGCCTAGACACACGGGGGAGATTCTAGGTCCTGCTGCAAATGATATGACAGACTTTGAAGATTCCCCCCATCGAAGGCCTCACCCTCCCTGGGGAGAAGAAGGGGAATGGAAAAGGGGGTCGATGAGGGGCAGGGGAGGAAGTGAGGGAGTACTGGGATTGACATGTGAAACAAGCTTGTTTCTAATTTAAATAAAAAAATTACTTAAAAAAATCACCAATTCCTTTTTAAGCACACTGACCATTTTTTATGTAACCCTTATTCTTGCTTTTATTCATAGAAGTGGAACACAAGCTTCTGGCACTTAGCAGGAAAGATGTACCATAAGATCTTAAGTTTCTTAATTTTTCAAATATAAGGGAAATATCTTTACAGCTATTTTCTGACAGCATAATTCTTCTCTTGGGATTCCAGAACAGACATTTTAAAGATAAGGTATCAAATTAGGCCTTATATTATCAAAACCATTTATATTATCAGTAGGAAAAAAAGGTGTGGCATTGTATCCCCGACAGCTTTTGGAATAAGTGTGGGTTTTTCTAGGCCCTCTGAAGAATACAGATCTGCATGAAGGATACAAGTACATGCCGGGTTTACCTACTGAGCCTATAACCCTGAAACATAGCCCCTCCATATTTATAACTATTTCAGCACAGTACCCAAAAATAATTGGAAAAGTAGACTTCCTTTTTCTTTTAGGCTCTTGTCATTTCAATAAAAGTTTAAATTAAAGTATAACCTACTAATTCTGGCTCTCTGATTTCCTAGCTGTGTGGTGGTTAGGGAGTACAGCATGGAAAATGAGAGACAGTCTAAGGAGAGCATTTTTCCTCCAAGCATCTCTAAATGCCTAGGTGAGAGGGGGCAGTCACTCAGTGGCTTCTTTCTTCCAATATACAGAATGTAACCATGGGCTGTTCTTTCCAGAAAGAAGTCCAGGTCAGCTTTCATCCACAGACCCCCAACAGGAGGCCTTTGGTGGAGTCTAAGCAGGCAGTCCTTATTGGCATTCAGATGAATGGCTAGGGTTCCTTCTGTCCTATGTCTCCATCTTCTTTTCATTCCAGAAAAAGGAAACAAAACAAAGAGGAAGCCTGGGAAAGCAGCATCCACTTCTTTCTAAGTCTTCAATCCCACATGAAGCCTGTTATTTATGGTCATGTGGGTCATGGCCATCTCTAATTTCAGTAAATGAATGTAATAAATGTCTTTGGTGGAAATTTTAACAGCCTGGTGCAAATTTATTTGAAATTGACAGAGGCTCTTCTACTTCAGAACAATAATAAGTGCAGTGTATATCCTCACCACTAAGTATTCTTCATGAACTCATTATGTCAGTCTGCTCAGCTGTATATGATTCGAAGCTAAAAGGTGTTCTGGCACAATAGTACCTTAGCTGTAATTTGTTTGTTTTCTTCATATTTTAGTTACCTCTGGTCAACCATGATCCAATAATATTAAATAGAAAATTCCAGAATTAAGTTATGTCCTAATTTGTACACTGATCTAAACTAATGATAAAATCTTACACAGCCCACCTCCATCTTTCCAGGACACAGATTGTTTCAACTTATCCAGGGTATCCACATTGTATATGCTACCCATCAACTAGTTACTCTGAGAAGTCATATCAGATTGAATGTCACAGTGTGACAGGGCTTGTGTTGAAGTTGCTGTCCTAGGAATGGTCTTAATAATGAACCCGAAGTTCAAGAATACCAATATTGTTCATGTGTATATGCCAGAAAGGTGTTATAAAATGCTTCCTGAAGTAAAAATATGGAAATTCTCTGCTTAATAAGAAATAAGCAGACCCCATGAATGTGGGGGTCAGTGCCTCTTGTAGTAGATCAGTACTTATCCCTAGCATAGGAATGGACTTTGGGAGCCCTTCCCACATAGAGGGATACTCCCTCAGCCTAGACACAATGGAGTGGGCCTAGGCCCTATCCCAAAAGATATGACAGACTCTGAAGACCCCCTGTGGAAGGCCTCACCCTCCCTGGGGAGCAGAAAGGGTATGGGTAGATAGGGTGTTAGTTGGGGAGGGCAGAGGAGGAGGGGAGGGAGAGGGAACTGGGATTGACATGTAAAACAATCTTGTTTCTAATTCAAATTTAAAAATTTAGAAAAAAGAAATAAACAGTGAATGTTGGGGTCACTAATATCTGCATTAAGGTCAAATAGTAAACAGCATAGAATACACACACTTTAGTGCCAGACACAATTTCAACTATCTGTATAGGTGTTGGGATGTATACCCCACAGAAAAGGGGAGGTTACTGTATTTTAATACCATCTACATAAACTCTGCCCCCATTTCTACCTGTGATAAGAGGGAAGACATCTCATATTTTCTTAATGTGTCAACTTAATGTCACAAAAGGATTGCTATTTGGGATTGAGGTTAATGCCTCAGGTGAACCTCACTGTGGAAAGATTAGGTAATAGTACCAATCAGGAATGAGGGTAGACAGGAGGAGAAAATGCAAAATCCTCTTTTACAAGTAAGATTAATAAAGTTTTAGGTGAATGGCTTGAGAATGTTCTAAGATCTATAAAGGGAATAAAATACAGGTGGCTGTATCTTCACGTCTTCAAAGTAGGGTTCCAACAGCTGCATGAAACTTACCTCTTTTCCCCATTGTAAAGTGTCTAAACTCATTGAGATATTTCTATACCATTCTAATACAAAGCTCTAACATCTTTCTGTAGCATAAATAGAGGTAATTTCTCTCTTACCTGTGTAACCATTACAGTCTGGTGGACTACTGTACTCTACTGTATGAAGTGCAGTTAAGTAAACATGTTCCCAGCACCAATTCTTATGCTATGCACCAGGATTTCAGACACTAGCTGGTAACTGTTACTATGAAGCCATTCAGTCAAACAGTGTGAGTGGAATTCATACATTTTGTCAGACAAAAGAGAAGCATACACCACTATGCCTGGCTAGGATATTTACATTAAATACAAATATATTTATATGGTTAAGATATTTTGTATATTTTCTCTGAAGAGAATTTAGGAACAAGAAATTAGTACCAATGAAATGTATGCTGAGTTTTAGGGTTGTTTTTCTGTTCCTGGGTGCCTTTTTTTTTTGGTTTATTGAGACAGAGTTTCTCTGTGGTTTTGGAAGCTATCGTGGAACTAGCTCTTGTAGACCAGGATGGCCTCCTACTCACAGAGATCCTCCTCCCTCTGCCTCTCGAGTGATGTGATTAAAGGTATGTACCACCAAAGATATTGGCAGGAAATTTTCCTGTGTTATTTATTTCAAGATCTCTGCCTATGTTAAATCTTTGTTCTGCCTCTACCTGCAAGCCATTTTAATTTAAATCTAGGCAAAATCTCTAATTTTCATTATATTTGACTTTAGTTTAGTAATTCTCAAAATTTCTCCTGATTAAATAGTGTTGAGTAAGAAATTCTGATTTAAAAAACAAGAACAACAAAGGATCTAAACAACCACTGTTGTCTGCCTTGCCTTCATTATTCACTGAAACAATATTGCCTTTTATTTTAAACTAACTTTGTTCTTTGTTCCAGCCACCGTTTTCCTGGAATTTTGGAAGAGACGCCGAGCAGTGATTGCTTACGACTGGGATCTGATAGACTGGGAGGAGGAGGAGGTCTGTACCACTTACCTCAGAATATCTTATAGCACAAACCACCAAAATGCAGCCCTTGAGTTGTCAGCCTGCACTGAGTAATGAAGTCAGGTTATCCAGAAAACAGTTTTAATACCTGCCTTTGAAGGAGGTCTCAAACTATATAAAGAAGGTCTGGTGACATACCTGTGACTCTACCATCTGGAAGGTTGAGACACAAAGACCTCAAGTCAAGGCCAGCCTGGGTCACATAATGGAGCTTTACCATGAGGCAGGAAGTGGGAAAGTCTGGCATCATTTGGCAATACTGCCATCAAACCCACGTGTTTGAGCTTCATTCTGATGTGTTAGTGAATGAAAATTCCATGAGTCAAGAGACATTTCTCTAATAGGAGGCAGAGACACATGGGATTCAGGAGGATGATCCTTTACGTTGTCCATCTTCTTTACTTTAGAAGAAGGCAGTTGTGTGTTTAATGTCACTAGATGTAGGAAGCACACCTCATTAGAGAACTTCTCGAGGAAATGTTTCTGTGAGCCCAGGACCCACAGCAGCCTCCAGATATGCACAAGTTCAGAATTTCATCAAGGGCTAAGTGCTGAGAAGAAGCAGATCCAGGCAGCCTCCTTGGTGGTGCAGACAAATGTGGGGTCAGCTGTAGAGCAAGCTGCCAATGAGGGCAAGCTCCGCTCTTTGGGTTCTGCTTTGTCAGCAATCTTGCCAACCACTTTGTTCTGCATCCCCCCTTCTAGGTCAGTACATTGTGTTATTCCCTAATTTGTGCCCAACCCTGGTTCTCTTTTCTTGAGCCGTTTTATCATGCTAGACTCGGTCACCCCATCCTTCCATTGGACACCTCTTTATCTGGGCCTTGCCCATCTTTCCTAACCCTTATGTTCTCTTAGCTCTCCTGAATCCCAAGTCATCAGAACCTTGCTATGACTGTGAGTCATAAAACTATAATGTTATTATAGCTACTATGAGTGTTTTCTTTCCTAGAGGAACATGTATTAATAGGAGACTTTTAAAAACACAGATTCTGAAAATGTTCATCCTGTGATTGATTGGCTTGACAAAGGAGATGATTTTGACAGGTTTTTATCTTATTCCACTAATGTGCCAAGGCTTTGTTTGTTTGTTTGTTTGTTGTTTGGTTTGGTTTGGTTTTTGCTTAGTTCCTTTTTGTTTTGTTGTTTATTTAAGATATACACTGAGGAACTTTGATACATGACACTGGAGTTTTTCAGTAATTCCTATTATTCTGAAAGACAGTCACACTTATGTTTCATAAACATCCTTCAGAAAATGTTTTTTTGGGTTTGGAGGCAATGCTCAGGTTGACACGGAGTCTGTGGGCAGCAGCTCTTACATCTGTATCCTAAGAAACTGAGAGTTTCCCAAGGAAGCAGAAGAATCTATATCACTGTATCCTCAAACTTCACTGCCTGAAATAAAGTAAAAGAAGGCTGAGTATATCTGTGAATACATCTTCCTACAGAACACAGCTATTCCCAAACTAGGCCTGTTTTCCATTTACTATAATTCTCTTCCATCTCTTTGTCTTCTATTTTCATCTGAGTGCTGTCTGCATGAACTTAGGCTCCAGCCCATCTGGTTTTGCTCATTTTCTTTGCTTTCCCAGTTTGCTCAAGTAGAACACATACTTAATTAACCAGAAGCACTCTAGTACTCCTCTTGCTAATTGTCTTCCTAATCCCATGATTGCTTTTAGTGGGAAACTGGTCACATTGGGATAAGGCTCAGCTAAATGAAACAAAAGTCTCAGCTTAGCTTGGGATTGAAGGAGCCTTGATACAGTCACATTTGGAAGGTGTTTGGGCAATTAAGAATACATTTAATATCTATTGGTTAAAGGCAAGTGCCTCCCATAAGAGCTTATGAAATATAGATTCACTTTGGATTTTAGTCACCTAAACCTAGGCACACAAAAATAAAAGTATTTTAGACTTTAAGAAGAAAGATAAGAATGACACTGATAATATAAATCACAAATATATTTTGAACATTTACCTATTCAGAAGACTTCTTCTGTCATTGCCTGATAATAAAGGTGACAGTTTCTTACTGTTCCAAAACACTAGGTATGGGACAGGCAGTAAGTTTTAAATATCAGTCCTTCTTCAGGGAGAGTTTATCAAGGTACCAGAAAAATGTAACTGTTAGTCTAAGTTGTAATGGTTTGAGGATAATGAATATTGATCACCATATTAACAGATAGTCTTCAAGGGATCAATTTCCAAATGTTTAAGGCTGTATTTCCAAGCCTACTCTATTGACTGACTGATTGGTGTGGCAGCTATGGATTCCACTTTATGGTTGGGTAAAAAGAATATTTCTTACTGTGAGTATCTCCTCAGAACATATGGGTGTGTCTGCTTGTCTTTCAGGAAGAAATACGCCCCCAATTTGAAGCCAAGTATTCCAAGAAAGAACGGATGAATCCCATTTCGGGAAAGCCGGAACCTTACCAAGCATTTACTGACAAATGCAGCAGACTTATCGTTTCTGCATCAGGAATATTCTTCATGGTATGAAAATTTTCTTAAAATCTCTTTAGTTTTATAAGGTTCAAACCTCTAATCTAGCAACAGTAATCCCGCCAGGTACTTGCATGACTATATACAGCACTTTCACATGGTATGCTATTTAATCCTCACTGGCATATTTGGTGTCCAGGATGCATCATGGATGGCATTGCTATGGCATGTGACAGATGAAGCAACTAAGTATCCAAAAGGTTAAGGGATTGCCCTGGGTCTGCCCATGAGTAAGTGTTCAGACTCCCACTGTATGTCCTGTTCCTCCCTCTCACCATGTCCCACCATGCTCTATGGAAAGGAACTAAAACTGTGAGACAACATAAAAGGCAAAGCTTCCACACACCAAGGAAATCTACTCCTTTAGCCAATGAAGAAAGATGGTGTTGAAAGGAGAGGGAGATTGAATAGAAAGACTCAAACCCACCCCCTTTTTTGTGTACCACTTCTAAACAATAACGTCATGCTTTGCCCTCCACACACACATTTGTATTTATTGGCTTATTTCTCCTATAAGATCTGGATACCTAGATTAGGTTTTCCTGTTCTGTGGTCATGGACCCTAAAGCACTGGAAGCTGAGGCTGTGGAGAAGTCACACTAGTGTCTAGTAGCATAGCTAGAACTCTCCCCTGTCCTCTGACTCTAAATCCAGTAGTTTGTTGTGCCCATCTCCCTGTCATGTGTGACCTTCGATATAGACTTCATCTATCACTCTATCATCAGCCCTAGGATTCAAATTTTGTTTATCTATTATTATATTCTTGCCATCCTGGACACAGCTAGCCAAGGTTTGTACTCCAGTTTTTTGTGTATTTTGTACCAGGAGTGAGCAGAAAATAAAGTTTATATAAAGAACACTGTAAAGAAAAGAATCTATAAATCAATGGCTACCACTTCAGGGACTGAATTTAAAACCCATTTTTAGAAAATGAGGCCATGGTCTCTATTAGGAATCACTGAATGAAAGTTCAAAAACTGTTTGGAGTCTCAGATTCTATTATCTTACAAAGATAGAAGATACACCATAAACTATTCCAAAGTATCACATATCTTCAAAAAAGATGCTTCTGTCTATGTTTGTATTAAATAGTAAGATACTATGTCTCTGTCACATCGTTAGTTTATTCAGCAGCACATAACAGGAATATGCAGACACCGTCCCTGCCTTCTGGGCCTTACTTTCTAGTGGGAGAAATTGACAATAACCAGGCAAATTGTTAGAAATCATCAGTAGAACCCTGGAAGAAGATGCATGCATTTAGCACATTGCTGTGCTCAGCAACAACAACAATGCTCTGGTGCTCAGGCAAAGATTCAGTTCCCCGTGGTTCTCCAGCTGAGAAGTGAAAAGGGATGGGGGTTGTTCCCTGGGCTGTGTACAGGAGTGTGTGCACTTTGGGCAGGAGATGGATGGATGGGTGTTATGGAAATGGTCTTGAAGTTTGAAAATACTTAACTGTTTTGAAGCAATGAGAAAATGTCTGTGGATTGCCATGATGGCTCAGCAGATTAAGGTGCTTGCCATCAAGCTTGACCACCTGAGTTTGATACCTGGAACCCACATGGTGGAAGGAAAGAACTGACCCCATAAGTTGTCGTCTGACCTCCATATATGCGCCATGACATTCACACTACTGTAATTACGAGCATAATATGATTTCTATAAGGATGTTGATCTGATCACTCAATTATTTTGCTTTAAAAAGTGTTACCCACTTCCTTGGGCAGATCTTAAGCTTTCAGGCAGTGTGGTTTTTCTACTCTATCAGGAAATCCAGACAGAGAAAATGTTTACTGGGGATCCGCTGTTTTGTCTTTATTAATCCGCATATCCCTTGCTGGAATCTGTAAGAAGTAATAGCACTGGATGCTACATAGTGGAGGTCCTCACCAAGATCAAGAAAGAAGAGAATACACACTGACAGATCGCTAGTGGATTTGCTGTCCAGCATCAAGGTCAAGGATGCAGTAGTCTATGATTATGTGCATGTTGACTTCACTCAGGAAGAGTGGGCTTTGCTGGATCATTCCCAGAACAATCTCCATAAAGATATGATGCTAGAGACTACAAGAAACTCACTGCTATAGAACACTTGCCAAGGCAGAGAAGGAGGGAAATATCTGACTTTTGAATGTAACTAGAAGACCAAATGAGAAAAAATGGCTGCAAGACAAGGACAGTGCCCTGAATCCTTCCTCTGCAGCAACCTCTTCAAAGACCTCAGCCATGAAGATAAGTGAAGCCAAAAAGATGAGAGCAATCAAGAAACTGGATAGAGCTACCTGCAGCCCCTCAGTGGACAGCCTATCCAGGGATATATTGCCTGTGTTTTACATCTCTTCCTTGAGCTGACTGTTGGGGAATGGCATTGCCAACAATGTCTATCTAGCATCTTGGACCTGAGCCTCAACACACAGTGCCCCAGATCCCCAGAGGAAAGCCATGAGGCTTGGGCACAATGCAAAGATGCTGGCAGGAAGCTTCCTGAATACAAGATAGTGGTGTTGGATGCAAGTGGTGTTGGTAAAAGTACTCTCACTATCCAGATGACCCACCACTGCTTTGTGAAAGAACATGACCCCACTGTCCAGGATTGTTACTGGAAGGAGGTGGCCTTGGACAATGTTGGCTACATTCTGAATGTGCTGGACACAGCGGGGCAGGAAATCCTCAGGGCCCTGCGTGACCAGTGCCTGGCAGCTGGTGATGGTGTGCTGGGTGTCTTTGCTCTTAATGACCCTTCATCTCTGGACCAGCTGTAGCAGATATGGTCCACCTGCAGCCAGCATCAGAAGCATCAGTTGTCTCTGGTACTCGTGGGCAACAAGTGTGACCAAGTGACTACTGCTGGAGATGCTGACACTGCTGAAGCAATCCTGGCTCATAAGTGGGGAGTCCCCTTTGTGAAGACCTCAGATAAGACACAGCAAGGTGTAGAGGAAGCCTTTGCTCTCATTGTCCATGAGATTCAGAGGGCCCAGGAGGCTGTGACTGAGACAAGCAGGAATAAGACCCTACAACACAAAGCTGTGTGTAGCTGTGGCTGCTCTGTAGCCTGAAGATCTTAGTCAAGCAAATTGACCCTTCTCTCATGTCATGTCAAGATGACAATTACCTTGTCATAAGAGTCCCCTCCCACCAAATAAGTTACCATGGACACCTTATTATTCTCATTTGGTGAGTAGTTAAGTGGTAACAATGGGGTGTCCAGCATTGGCTGTGATCTATGAAGCTCTATGCAAAATTGAATAAATGTTGTTCATACTAAAAATAAAAAAGAAACTGGATAAAGAATAGACTTTATCTTGAAAACAAATTGCTATAGTTACAATAGCTAAACAACAACAACAACAAAAAACTGAGTAAACTGTTATGCCCTGCCTAAGAGGACAATTATTTTTCTGGGTTTACATGTAAGTTTGAGAGAAAAGGTTTGAGATATCCTCGATGTGCTCCAAGAGAAATCCCTACTCTCTAGAGCACATGGCTATAAAGCTCTTTTCAAGTTTTCAAAGTCAATTTTTAGATCATAACAACCATCATATCCTCGTTCTCTTTCCTGTCTCCAAGCCATACCAAGACTCTTCATTGTTTTCTGATTAATGGCCTGTTTTTCTTAAACAACTCTTACACAGTAACAACACTTAATGTTTGAATATGACATACAGTTGGCGGCAGTATTTCCCAGCTATGAGGCTAAGGGCTGGTTGCACTGCACATTGAGTGTATAATGGAATGTGCACAAAATCACCCTGTGTTTGCACAAGGAGCAGGATGTGTTCCAGGAGAGTGGAAGAATGTTTAATAAAATATAAACATTCTTGCCTACGTGCTTGTCTGCTGGGCTGGAAGAGCAGAGCTGGAAGGACTGTGCTATCTGTGTCATTTGAACTCTGATCACCTGAAAGGGGCTTCTAATATTCTAGGCCTAACAGGGTGGTCCTGGCCCATTAGGGACTCTAGGAAGTTTTAGCAATCAGGAGTACTGGTGGCAGGTAGCTTGCAGTTTCCTTCCAGGATTCCCGTCTCTTTCTGCCCTAGGGAGTTTTAAGGAAGAATACAATCTGTAGGGTGTTCACAGCAAGTCTCTATAGCTCTCATTTCTGCTGGAATTTGTTTGTACCATAAAACAGACTGTGGTTCTCTTGGTTCACATGGTGACCTTGGAAGTTATCCTTGACCTCTGAGCCTCCCTGTATGTGGATTTCTTGGATAGAAGGAGACTCTGCAGTCCTGGCATGGGAGGATATGATGCCTATATTATCACTGTCCAGTGTGCACACACAAGTAGCGCTATTGGTGTGCAGTGAGAACACAGATTGAAAAACAGATAGTGTGGTTTCTAGAATTTCTCAATATTGAATTCCACTTTCAGCTTTTTGTCATAAATATTACAAATAATTTAGAAAATGGTAGAAAGATGGTGACATTGATTGTCTTTCAGAAATGCATAATTAGAATGTTTTCTAATTTATGCTACCACAAGCCACAATAGTGTGATTTAGTGCTGTTTAGTTCCAGGGGACAAAAGTTGTTTCTGGTCTGCAGAGATATCTCAGGTGTGTATTGTGTTGGGCAGGGAGTTAGGTTAGGATACACTTCTTGAGTCATAATCCATTTGTCAGGAAGCAGATTTTAATTACTCTTTCATGTTGTTTTGGGATTGGGCATTAGTGGGGCTGGGTTTACCTGAAACCACAGGAGGCATTAAGGTGTGCAGAGATATAGATAGAAATCTCCTCCTTTTGTAGAGAGAGCTCTAGAGCATGGGGCATCTTTCTTTGGAAGAAATATCAGTAGATGGAGGGTCAGAAAACAGTTTAAGGGTCACTTTGAGTTAATTTAATTGGAGTTTTGAAGTCTGTTTTTATTTAATCTCTATATACATTAAGATTCCTAAGTAACTGGATAACATCACACTTTTTATGGATAAGTTTCTTTTGTTTTTTTGATCAATAGTCGACTATATTTTCTGACCTTTGTTCTTGGCTTTTTCTCTCTATCCTCCTTATTCTTTTACAAGTATTGTACACATTCTGATTGTTGTATGTTTATAATAAGTATAAAAGTCATTATGTCAATCTGTGTACTATATTTTCATAATCCCATTGAACATTCTGAGTATTTGAACTTTTAATGTAGCTTTATTTATTTATTTTTTATCTTTGTGAATATAGCTCTGTAATGAGCATTTTGTTATATATTGTTGTGCATTGTAATTAGATTGTGTTCATTTTATGGTACAAATTTAACACACAACAACTTATTTTTGATCCATCATGTTCCCAAGGATCAATGATTTACTTCTTTGTTTATGTAGGTTTTGTTGAGCTCGTTGTTGTTAATCTGTGAAATAGTGTTGGCTTATCAGATAAAACATACTGTGTATCTTGGGTCATTGTCTCTGATGCACAAACATATACAAAATATAGCAATAAAGTTGGAAGATTTTAAATCCTTAAAAGAAAATGTTTACCGGGGTGAAAAGTGTGCATCTTCCCAGGGACAGTTTGGAAGCAGGATCGCCGCCACCTGACTTTCTTTCTTTCACCAGAACGCAGATCTGCTTCCTGAAACCTGGCATTGAGGTCTCACTGGTTCTCCTCTATCTTCCTTCTAGATCTGCGTGGTGATCGCTGCTGTGTTTGGGATTGTCATTTACCGGGTGGTGACTGTTAGCACTTTCGCAGCCTTTAAGTGGGCGTTGATCAGGAATAACTCTCAGGTTGCAACCACAGGGACCGCAGTGTGCATCAACTTCTGTATCATTATGCTGTTGAACGTGGTAAGTGAGCAACGGGGGGCAAGTCAAAAGGGGGGGCTGCTGTGCTGTGGTGGTGGTTTCCTTCCATTGTAAGTGAGCAACAGGGAGCGAGCCAAAAGAGGGCGCTGCTGTGCTGTGGTGGTGTTTTCCTTCCGATGGTAAAGAGACTGGCCTCAAGGCAGAAGGCCTGTGATGAGGCCCTGGTGGCCTGATAAGACTCAATGCAAACTTGGGCTCCAGGACTATCTGCACAAGGCACAAACCCTCTGGAACCTCTTTCCCTTGTGCACTGACTTCCCCTTTGGTGAAATCTGAGAGTGTGTTTAGAAAATCCTGCTCAGAGACTACAGCGTACCTCATCAGTGTCAACCTCCATCCTTCTCCGTTCAGAACGTGATAAAGCAGCCAGTATCTGACACATCCTTCGAGGTACACACACAAGGAAAATGTCAGAATGGTACATGCTGCTCGTGCTGGCTTCAGACTCTTTACAGTCACATATTTCAGGCCAGACCTCTCCTCTGAACATCAAACTTGCATGTGAAATGGCTTACTATGCAATCATCAGCACTTTCATTTTAAATGTTTTTGTTACATTTATTTGTGTGTGTGTGTACATGTGTGTGCGCGCGCACACATCCATTCGTGAATGTACATGAATGCACACGCAGAATGTTATGCATGTGGAAATCAGTGGACCACGTTGGGAAGTTTGTTATTTCCTTCTGCCATGGAGATACCAGGGATGTGTTGAAGGTAGTTTAAGCTTGGGTGTAAGCACCGTTACCTGCTGAACCAATGTGTAAGGCCCCTGCTTTCTCCAGTCTTGTTTCAACTCTTCCCATAGCCTCCTTCTTACTAAAATGAGCTAAAATAAAGCTAGCACATCCTTCATGCATCCATTTCTCTCTCCATCAAAATGTACCTATACCAGATGTGGTGTCACGAATCTATAATTTCAGCACAAACAAGGCCAGGCAGGAGAGTCAAAGTTCAAAGGTAGAATTAGACCACTTTTCACACATCCCTGGGCCAAGTCTCCAGCATCTCTTCTCTCAATGGCTTTCTGACTGGTGCCCTGGCCTCCACACTGGCTCGAGTCAGTCTTAGCTCAATGCAGAAACCACAGGGACAATGCAGCATTCACGTCACTCTTGTGACTCCTCTAAAGGTTTACAGGCCATGGCTTTCCCTTCACTCAAAGCAAAAATCCACATGTTCTTGTCTCCTTGCTGTTGCATTTTCCTGGAGCGTTCTGTACCTCCCTTCCTCAGTGTCTGTAGAGTTTACCCTCTCACCTTCCTCTGGTCTTTGTTCAAATACTACTTCTTTAATAAAGGCTTCCCATCACTATATTTCAGAACACAATTTGCCCCTGCCATCTTGTGATTCCATATCTCCAAACCTACTTTATTTTTCTCTGTACCCTCTGTTACACTCCTGATTTTGTTTAATATCTTCTCCTCTGGGTATAGGTCCACAAGAGCACAGTGCTTTCTCTCTTTGGCTTGTTTTTTTCTTTTTTTTTTAAATTTAAATTAGAAACAATCTTGTTTACATGTCAATCCCAGTTCTATCTCCTTCCCCTCCTCCCCTGACCCCACCAACTCCCAACCTATCCCCTTTCTGCTCCCCATGGAGGGTGAGGCCTTCTATAGGGATCTTCAAAGTCTGTCATATCATTAGGAGCAGGGCCTAGGGCCTCCAAAATGTGTCTAGGCTGAGAGAGGATAAAGTGGGATATTACCAATACGGAGCCAAGTAGAAATATAAGGGTATTTAATAGGGAAAGGCCTTACTTACAGAGCACCCTAGCCAGCCAGCGTGGCAGCAGTCTGTCCAGCAAGCTGAAAGGGAAAAACGAAAGTGAAACAACCCTGAACCTCTCCCTCTATGTCACCCTGACCATGCCCTCGAAGGCGTGTTCAGGCAGACCTGTAGCCAGCCCCTAAGCAGGCGTGGCTATAGGTTCCCCTACAATTCCCCTTTTAGTCTAAAAGATGTTAAAAACTTAATAGTATAAATTATCCAAAATTAACAATCATAAAGGTGAAATATAAGAAGATACAACAATCTGCTTATGTCACATACTCACTATCTATTTTAACTAAATCCTAAAGTCATCTGAAAGAGGTGACCAAGCTTGAACACCTACTTTCAATCCCAACCATAAAAAATAGGAAGCTCTCCCTAACTAGGTATATACACTATCCTAAATGACAACAATGGGAAAAGGGGGCATAGCATCCTCCAAGTTACTTCCTGCTGAAATGGGATGATGATAGCCTCATAGGGTCCTGTGGGAAAAAATGTTAATATAGTGAAAGTCTTGAATGGATTTTATCCAGTCCATGTTAGATGGGATTTGCTTGATTGAAGATCTCGCTTGAAATCCTCAACTTGATTGAAGTCAGTACCCGAAGCTCTGGCAGAAGTGTCAGTTGAAATGGAGCAAGTTGGATCCAGTGCAGTTGAGGAGGTATGGCCCATTTTCTTTCCAGGGTGTCCAGGGATTGCTGTCAGGCAGGTCTTCATTGGCTGTGTGGGACTCAAACATAAACAGTTAACAGAGAAATGTTTGCTTATTATGTACACATACTAGGAAAGGCAACCATGGGAGAATAACGATTATGAGAGGGTGTACACCTTGAAAGAAAGATCCAAGAAAAGACAAAGACAGTCCCCAAATTCTTCTTTTATTCTGTATTACATCAATTGGCTTCTTGATACAATACAGAAACTCTAAAGTTTAGTTAAACAAGTTGCTTGGATTTTAGAGGAGGAAAGCCATATCCACCTCTAAATCCAGAATTGGTTTAATTGAATAGGGACTAGTAAATATGGAGAAATAGAGTTCTGTGAGAGACAGCTGTAAAGTTTACCATATGGCACGTTCCCTTTGTTTGATGGTTATAGCTACCTTCTCTTCTTACGTATCTACCCATGCAATGTCCTTTGCCTTCTGGAGATGAGTTTTCCTGTGAAGATAAAAGCAAAACACGTCCCTTTCCTTTGGGGGGTTTCTATTTAGTTTATAAGAAGTTTATACCTTCTAACCTGTCACTTGTCCTTGTCGAGAGGTTTCTTTTTCACCTAGAATCTTGGTCAACTTTGATGGAATCCAAAGTTTTTCTTCTCCTGTGGAAACAAATGCAAAATCCCTACCCCAATGTAACACATGTTCAGGCTTCCATACTGAGGTTAGTATATCTTTGAAGTATACTGGTTGATTCCGTTCAGCAGTTTTTTCCATAGTCCAGTGTCTTTCTGCAGCTTTATGTCCTTTTTCATTAGCATTAAGAAAGTTTAGTGTTAATAAAGCATTATGCAACCTATGTTTGAGGGGGGAGCTTTTTCAGAGTTAAGAGCAGTAGCCCATTGGAACCCTGAGAATGTGTCTATAGTATGATGCACATATTTCAAATTTCCAAACTCTGCAAAGTGAAAGACATCCATCTGCCAAACCTCATTTCTCTGAATGCCCTTAGGATTACAACCTTCTGGCAATGGAGTTTGGTTATAAAAGGAACAAGTAGGACAGTTTTTTACTATCTCTTTGGCTTGTTGCCAAGTGATGGAGAAGTCCTTTTTCAAACCTTTGCTATTTACATGATGTTTCTTATGAAATTCTGAGGCTTCTAGCACACTTCCAATTAATAAACGATCAATATCATCATTGCCTTGTGCTAGTGGACCTGGCAGTCCGGTATGGGATCTGATATGTGTAATGTATATAGGATTACTTCTGTTTCTGATAGTTTCCTATAATTGTAAAAACAGAGAAGTTAATTCTGTATTATCAGGAATGCACTTCTGACACCAGATAAAGTGGGAAATTACCAATACAGAGCCAAGTAGAAATATAAGGGTATTTAATAGGGGAAAGCCATACTTACAGAGCGACCTAGCCAGCCAGTGTGGCAGCAGTCTGTCCAGCAAGCCGAAAGGGAAAAACCAAAGTGAAACAACCCTGAACCTCTCCCTCTACCTCGCCTTGACCACGCCCTCGAAGGCGTGGTCAGGCAGACCTGTAGCCAGCCCCTAAGCAGGCGTGGCTACAGGTTCCCTACAAGAGTATCCCTCTATGTGGAGTGGGCTCCCAAAGTCCATTCATATGTATACTAGGGATAAATAGTGATCCACTACCAGAGGCCCCATAGATTGCTGAGGCTGCCTGACTGACACCCACATTCAGAGGGTCTGGGTCAGTCCTATGCTGGTTTCCCAGCTATCAATCTGGGGTCCATGAGCTCCCCTTTGTTCAGGTCAGCTGTTTCTCTGGGTTACTCCAGCCTGGTCTGGACCCCTTTGCTCATTACTCCTCCCTCTCTGCAACTGGATTCCAGAGTTCAGCTCAGTGTTTAGCTTTGGGTGTCTGCTTCTGCTTCCATCAGCTACTGGAAGAAGGTTCTAGGATGGCATATAAGGTAGTCATCAATCTCATTATTAGGAAACGGCATTTAAGGTAGACTCTCCACTATTGCTTTGATTGTTAGTTGGGGTCATCCTTGTAGATCTCTGGACATTTCCCTAGTGCCAGATTTCTCTTTAAACCTATAATGACTCCCTCTATTATGGTATCTCTTTGGTTTCTCTTTGGCTTATTTTTACTGTTGTTATGCCCCAGTGTCTGGAGAAGCACATGAAACATAGCAGGCATTCAGGAAATTATTGTCATTTGTACACCAGAATAACAGCTGGCAAGGTTAGGCTTTCAGGTCAGATGTACATAAAAATACTGACCTTAAAGGTCTATAGCAGGAAATAATTGAGATAAAATACATGCTGAACACTGTGTCAGGCATAAATTAGATGCTCAACTCATTATTGTTCTGCTCATGCTCATGTGAAGAGCATCTTTGTTATGATTCATCATGCTGAAATGTTAACGTTTTTACAAATGACTGGACTTTCTAAAGGCCAAGTAACACAATCCCGCTATCAAAAGGTATACATTATTTGTCATGAACAGACTTGGCAGGTTGACACTACATGTATTTGTGCATACACATATATGCATC